CATCCATGTTCCCATCCATCCATCCATCCATCCATTCAACCCGCTAACCAAGGAACCACCCATCAATTCATTCAATGATACTGATGTTATTGACCCCACCGACCCACACACACTGTCAATCAGCCCGAAATCACACTGCCCTACGTCATCTCACATTCCATAGCCATGGTCCACAGGGTGACCACAGCTCCCCTCACCTGTGACGATGTCGGTGGAGATGGGGCCCAGACGCTTCCGACCCCACAGCCCGTACAGGTTGAACTTGTAGCGGCGGGACGGTGACAGCCCAGGCACGGTCACCCTGCGCGAACCACCGTCCACGGGCAGCACCTGGGGCTGGCCTTGGGCATCCCTGTACTGCACCGTGAAGGAGTCAAAGGTGCCCTCGGGGACGCTCCACTCCAGCTGGACGGAGTCGGGGGTGACCTGGGAGGCCGTGAGCTCGCCCAGTTGGGGCTGGGATGGAGGTTCCTCCTTTGGCGTGGTGGGGGCTGCAACAGGGACAGCACAATGCAGGGTACACTTGGGACAGACCACCATCCACCCACTCAGCCCCCCACCTAAACACCCATCCACCGCTCACCCAACCTTCCACCCTTCCTTCCATTTCCCATTCCTCCAGCTCCTCGTCCACCCATCCAGCCAAATATCCCTTTCTCTGGCCATTCAGGCAACCAGACTCCCAGAAATCTCTCCTCTCATCCAGCTAACCACCTGCCCACCCATGCTTCCTTCCATCCTATCACTCGCCGTGGTTCCATGTCCCTTTTCCCTCACATCAGTTCATGGATTGAGGAACCCAACTATCCAAGCAGGCAACCATTCTTCCTTTCATTCTTTAGTCTGATTATCCATCTGACCACCCATGCTTCCATGCGTCCATCCATTCATCTATCCAGCCAATCATTACCCCATCATTCTTCCATCCATCCATCCATCCATCCATCCATCCATCTATCCATCCACCTTATCCCAAGCATCCATCCGTCTATCCAATCCATCCATCTTTGAAAAGTCACGGAGAACAGGAGAGGTGTCGTGTCACTCCACTCTTCAAATAGGGCAAGAGGGACAACCCAGGAGACTACAGGGCCAGTCAGCCTCACCCCCATCCCCGGAAAGATGGTGGAACAGCTCATTCTGGGTGTCATCTTTAAGCAGGAGGAGGAAGGGACAGTTATCAGGAATGGTCAACATGGATTCACCAAGGGGAAATCATGCTTGACCGATCTGATCCCTTCTATGATGGCATGACTGGTTGGGTGGATGAGGGGAGAGCAGTGGGTATTGTCTACCTCGACTGGGTCCGGTCCTGTCCAACAACCTGGCTGAGGTGACAGAGCGCACCCGCAGCACGTTTGCTGATGACACAAAGCTGGGAGGAGCAGCTGACACACCAGAAGGCTGTGACACCATGCAGCGAGACCTGGACAGGCTGGAGAGGAACCTCATGAAGTTCAACATGGGCAAGTGTAGGGTCCTCAGGAGGAATAACCCCGTGCACTGGTACAGGTTGGGGGCTGACCTGCTAGAAAGCAGCTCTGCAGAGAGTCCTGGTGGACAACAAGATGCCCACAAGCCAGCAATGTGCCCTTGTGGCCAAGAGGGCCAATGGTCTCCTGGGGTGCATCAAAAAGAGCATGACCAGCAGGTCGAGGGAGGTCATCCTTCCCCTCTGCTCTGCCCAGGCGAGGCCACATTTGGGGCACTGTGTCCAATTCTGGGCTCCCCGGGTCAAGAGAAACGAGGAACCACTGGAGAGAGTCCAGCAGAAGCTACGAAGATGCTGAGGGGACTGGAGCATCTCTCTGCTGAGGAAAGGCTGAGAGACGTGGGGCTGTTCAGCGTGGAGAAGAGGAGACTGAGAGGGGATCTCCTCAATGCTTATCAATACCTAAAGGGTGGGTGTCAAGAGGATGGGGCCAGACTCTTCCGTGGTGCCCAGTGACAGGACAAAGGGCAACGGGCAAACTGGAACGGAACATGAGGAAAAACTTCTTTACTGTGAGGGTGACAGAGCACTGGCACAGGCTGCCCAGAGAGGCTGTGGAGTCTCCTTTGCTGGAGGTATTCCAAACCCTCCTGGATGCGTTCCTGTCCAACCCACTCTAGGTGACCCTGCTTTGGCAAGGGGCTTGGACTAGAAGATCTCCAAAGGTCCCTTTCAATCCTGACCATTCTGTCATCTAATCCCAAGCATTCACCCATTCATCCAATCCCAACCATCCATCCAATCGCAACCATCCATCCATCCACGCATCCCTATCCATCCATCACCCATCATCCATCAACCCATCCAATCCCAACCATCTGTCCAGCCACCCACACACTCATCCGATCATCACCCACCCTTCCCGACAAACTCCTCCATCCCTCCACCCTTGCGTGCACCCATGCCCAGCCCCAAATCAAGGCTCAGATGCTCTTCCCATCAGGACCTGCTCCAAACCCAGTGCCTGTAGAGGACGTAGATGGGGCCCAGAGATGCCCTCACCTGTGACAGCATCAGTGGAGATAAGACCAACCCGTTTCCGACCCCACACCCCGTACAGGTTGAACTTGTAGCGGCGGGACGGTGACAGCCCAGGCACGGTCACCCTGCGGGATCCTCCATCAACTGCAAGTGCCTGGGGCTGGCCTTGGGCATCCCTGTACTGCACCGTGAAGGAGTCAAAGGTGCCTTCAAGGACACTCCACTCCAGCTGGACGGAGTTGGGGGTGACATGGGTGACCGTGAGCTCGCCCAAGTGGGGCCGGGGTGGTGGTTCCTCTGACGGCGGGGCCGGCACTGCAATGGAAGATGGCACAGAGCAGAACATGAAGATCCACCCATCCATGCATCCTTCTGCTGAACAATCTGTCCATTCACCCACCTGTGTAATCACGCACCCTTGAATCCAAGCACCCAACCATCCACCCATCCTCCCTTTGATCCAGCTGGGTGTTGGATCCACCCATCCATCCTGTTGTCCGTTCATTCTGGGTTTTGTCCATTGTTCTATCCATCAGCCCACCCATCTGCCCACTCATTTGTCCGTTCGAGGATCCAGGCTTCCATCCATTCAATGACCTGCCTTTCTATTCACTTTCCCTTACATCAATCCATCCATCCATCCATCCATCCAACCATCATGCATCCATCCTTCTGTCCACCCATCCACCCACCCGTCTTTCCACCCACCCACCTTTCCATCCATCCAATCACCCACCCACCCAACCTTCCATCCATCCAACCATCATGCATCCATCCTTCTGTCCACCCATCCACCCACCCGTCTTTCCACCCACCCGCCTTTCCATCCATCCACCCACCCACCTATCTATCCAAACATCCACCCACCCAACCTTCCACCCATCCAACCATCATGCATCCATCCTTCTGTCCATCCATCCACCCACCCAACCTACCCCCCATCCAACCATCATGCATCCATCCTTCTGTCCACCCATCCAACCACACCCAACTTGTCTACCAAGAGCAGATCAGCCCAAACACCTGAGTCCCTCCCATTGCTGCCATGGTCCACCTCATGGTACCTGTTTTGGCTATGGCACCTTGGGGCTCGGTCAACTCCATCTCATACATATGCTCCCAGTCCACCGGGGGCTCATTGGTGCCACCTACTCCTGCACCCAAAAGAGGAGTGGGTGGTTATGGGATGTTCCCCTGCGACGTTGTCCCCATCTTCATCCCCATCACCCACCTGCCGTCACCAGGAATGTGTAGGACTTGGAGACGTGCCCCCGCACCACGCCGTGCACCTCCACCCGGTACATGGCCCCCGGCACCAGCCCTGGCACTCGGGCCACCGCCGTGTCCCCTGGCACCTGTAGCTCCCCCTCGGCCCCCTCCGGCTCTTCCAGGAGCCGGTAACGGATCACCACAATCTCTGCATGGCCCCGCAGCCCATCCAGGTCCACCAGAGCCTCGCCGGCGGCCCCCGGCATCAGCTGGGGTTTGGGATGGGGGATCTGGCGCAGGAGCTGCTGACGCAATGGGGCTGGGCTGCGGCGCAGGAGGTAAGAGAGGATGGCACGGGCCACCGCTGGCACTGTTTGGTTGCCGCGAAGGGGAAAGTTCGTAGCCCGGAGGTGGCTCTCCAGGCGCTGCAGCAAGGAGCCATTGTAAGAGGAAAGCTTGGTCCCCAGGTCATGCAGGGATGGGCCACCCGGGAGCATTGGGGACAGTGGGGATGCTGGGGACACCGGGGACCACGGAGATGGAGGTGACGCAGGGGACTGTGGTGATGCTGGGGACCGTGGAGATGCAGGTGACCTTGGGGACACTGGGGATGCTGGTGCCTCTGGGGACCTTGGGGACACTGGTGACTGGTATTGTGGGGATGCTGGTGATACTGGGGACCTCGGGGATGCTGGGGACCCTCGAGATACTGGGGATGCCGGAAACCTTGGAGATGCTGGTGACCCCAAGGATGCATCTGGTGACACTGGTGATGTTGGTGGTCCCAGGGACCCTGGTGACCCCGGGGATGCTGGTGACACTGGGGACCTTGGGGATGCCGGAGACCCACGGACTGATGGTGACGCTGGGGCCACTGGTGACGCTGGGGACCCCAGGGAACCCTGAGGGGACCCTGGGGACCCCCCGTGGGTGGGCAGAGTCTGGGCAAGCACTGCGAGAGCAAAGGGGACCAGGGTCATCAACCCGTCCCCAAAAGTCCCCGTCTGCCAGAGCCTGGGGACCCATGGGGGGGTGGGGGGCGGACGGGACGGACAGCAGGGAAGGATGGACAAGGGAAGGGACGGGGACAGACGGACGCATAGGGACACACTGGGGACACCCATGGGGATAGACTGGGGACACCCAGACTCATGGGAACAGACTGGGACAGAGGGACTGACGGGGACAGACTGGGGACATCTGGACCCAGGCAACAGAGGGATGCACAGGGAAGCACCAGGAGGTGTGGGGACACGTGGACCCACGGGGACACATGGGCCCACAGGGACAGACGAGCCCACGGGGACACACGGACCCACGGGGACAGACCGTTGACACACAGATCCACCAGGACAGACAGATGCACGTGGACCCACAGAGCCATGGGGACACATGGACACGTGGGGACGGACAGAGGCTGCAGGCACCGTCCCTGTCCCCATCCCTGTGACCGTGACATCCCCCTCCTTGTCCCCATCCTTCTGCCACCCCTGCGCTTGTCACCATCCTGTCCCTGTCCCCATGTCTGTGCTGTCCTTATCCCCATGCCTGCATCATCCCTGTCCCCGTGCCTGTCACCAGGACACGTGGGGACGCATGCCATCCCCGTCCCCATGCCATCCCCATCCATTTTCCCCATCACCACCCCCATGTTGTCCTTGTCACCATGCCTGTGCCCATGCTGTCCCCATCCTAATGCCACCCCCATCCCCATGCCGTCCCCGTGCCCATCCCTGTCCCCACGTGGTCCATGCTGTCCCCATGCCCAAGCCGTCCCCATCACTGTCCCGACACCCATGACCATGCCATCACCGTCCCCAACCCCATCCCTGTGCCATCTCTGTCCCCATCCCTGTGCCCTCCCTGTTGACATACCCATGTTATCCCCACCCCTGTCCCCATCCTTCTCCTCATGCCACCCTTGTCCCCATGCCCCCCTTGTCCCCATGCCCTCCCCATCCCTGTCCCCACGCTACCCCTGTCCACTTGCCTATGACTGTGCCATCACTGTCCCTGTCCCCATCCCGTGCCGTCCCCATCCCTGTCCCCACCGCTGTGCCCATGTCCCTGTCCCCTTGCCCATTGACCACGCCATCCCTGTCCCCGTGTCATCCCCATCCACACGTCCATGCCACCCCTGTCCCCGTGCCCACGCTGTTGCTCTCCCTGTCCCCATGCTGTCCCCATGTCCATGTCATCCCCACCCCTGTCCCCAGACCCATGACCGTGCCATCACCATCCCCGACCCCATCCCTGTGCCGTCCCCACGTCCCCATCCCCATCCCCTCGCAGTCCCCACCCTGAGCGGGTGACACGTGGGTGACACGTACGGGTGCGGACGCGCAGGGTGCCGGGTGCCCCGAGGTGCTGCTGCCGCTGGGCCTGGATGAAGAGCTCGAAGGTGTGTCCGGGTGCCAGCCCTGTCACCTCGAAGGTGGCAGCAGAGCCGGGCAGCTCATGGGTGGTCATCGCCGCCGGTTCATCCTGGGGACAAGGGACATGCCAAGGACACCCTTGGGAACACCACGGTGGGACCTGGCCCTGAGTCAGGCGGCAGGGAGGTGGTCACAGCCATGAGGTTCTCCCAGGGCGTGTTGGGGACACGCTGGGGATGCACTGGGGACAGCTGAGGAGGGACACACTGGGGACAATGTGGTGAGGATACCTCCTCGTCCCTCAACCAGGCGGGAGGCAGGTGGCTGCAGCCAATGCCTTGTCCTGGGGCTGGGGGACACGTTGGGAACACACTGGGGACATACTGGGGACACCACGGTAGGGACATGTCCTGGTCCCTAAGTAGGGCTGCAGGCAGGTGGCTGATCCTGAGGACAGGGGACATGTTGGGACACATCCCTGCTGGGGACACATCCCTGTCCCCAAGCCAGGTAGCAGAAGGGTGGCCACAGCTGCTGGCTTATCCTGGGGACAAGGGACATATTGGAGACACCATGGTGGGAGACATCCTTCAGTCAAGCAGCAGATGGGTGACACCACCACAGCTCATTCTGGTGACAAGGGACACAACGGGGACACCACGCGGTGACACATCCCTAAGCCAGGCAGTAGATTGGTGACACCGCCATGGCTCATCCTGGGAACAAGGGACACGTTGGGGACACTATGGGGGAAGACCATGGGGGGACCCATCCCTAAGACAAGCAGCAGATGGGTGACACCACCACAGCTCATCTTGGGGACAAAGGACACACTGGGGAGATGTCCCCACCCCTGAGTTAGGCAGCAGGAGGTGGCCTGAACACTGCCTTGCTCTGGTGACAACAGACACGTTGGGGACACCATAGGGACACCCTTATTTTGTCCCCCAGCAGGTGGCCATGGATGTCACCTCATCTTGGGGATGAAGGCCACGTTGGAGCCACGTTGGGGTCACTACAGCGCTGGAAACCTGTCCCCACCCCTGTCCCCATCCCAAGCTCACCAGGGGGATGAGGGCCACCTGGTAGCCATCCACCGGCACAGGGGGGCGGGGCCAGGTCACACGGAAAGACGTCTGGTTGCGGGTGGCCAAGCGCGGTGTCACCGAGGGGATCTCTGTGGGGACACGGTCCCATCAGTGAGCGCCGCCACGGGGACACTTTTGGGCACCATGGAATGGGGTACCTATGGGATGGGGCCACCCTGGGGACACCGTGGCACTGGGCCACCTTGAGGACACGCGGGAACACCACAGGACGGGGCACCCGTGGGATGGGGACGCTCTCAAGTCCCCATGGGGACAGGGCACCCATGGGATGGGGACACCAGAGGACAGGGACACCCTCAGGACACTATGGGATCAGGTACCCAAGGGATGGGGACAACCTGGGGACACCACAGGACAGGGCACCCATGGGATGGGGACACCAGAGGACAGGGACACCCTCAGGACACTATGGGATCAGGTACCCAAGGGATGGGGACAACCTGGGGACACCACAGGACAGGGCACCCATGGGATGGGGACACCA